GTCCCGTGCGGCGCGGCATTGTCCCTGCGGGCAGCTGGAATAGGGGGTGTGGGTGGGCGATCTGGGGCCTGCGCGGGCGGCCCTTCAGCCTCAGGTCACCAAAGTTGGAGGTACAGGTGGCGGCGCAGCCGGTTCCAGACCTTCCAGACCGTGCTCTGCGCGCGTGCGCGTGCGCTGTGGCAGGCGGTGCTCTTGTCTAGGGTCTGAGGATGCTCAGGTGGATGGAAGACCAGCCCTGAGCTCGGGTGCTGCGGACGGGGCATCAGGAGAGCCCCTCCTCCCCCTCCTGCGAGGCTGGGCCTGTGTACTGGGGGACCTGAGGACCACTGGGTGGATCAGGGGCTCACTGGCAGATTCTGGTTCCTGGAGGAGAGGGGCTGGGTCATGGCCCCCATACCCTTGAGCAGGTGTGTGAGTAGGAAGCACGAAGTGGGAAGTGAGATTCTGGGCCGTTGGCGCTGGGACCCTGGAGCAGACACTGCCCTTCTCCCAGGCCTGGGGGTGCCCTGGGTAGTGGAGAGACTGGGTGGGAGTTGCAGATTCTTGCACCTGGAGAGACACTGTCGCTTCAGCCAACCCTCAGTGGGAATGGCTGATGGAGGGAGGAGGGCCTAGGGCAGTGGTTCCCAACTTTTCTGGGCCATGCCCCACCTGAGCATCTCTAAAATCCTGACCTCCCCCCAACCCCCCATGACATATAATTCTTATTATTCAAAAAGTGAGCTCCTATTCATGTGAGGAAGCCTAAAAGGCCATTAACTTCGTCTAAACAAGCTTCCAAAAAACGTGGCATCTATAAAAGAGAAAAATAAAGGAACAAAAGGACAGTTGAAGGCCTGAGGAAGAAATCACTAAGAAATTGTTTAAAAACAATAATAATATGAAGTGATATAAAAAAAGTTTCAAAACAGATAATAGAGAACTGAAATGCATAGATATGTCACAATATATGTTCATATACTGTATATGAGGCTCCTAGAACCATAAGAAATGCAAAAACAGTCACTGTTAATAACTCATTCTAAGAATTGCCCCCCTTAAAAATCAAATTGCCTCTGTGTGGGGCATGTGCCCCACGTTGGGAACCACTAGCCTAGAGGCAGTATCTAGGCAGAGAGCTCCCTGCACGTGCTGCGTTTGGGCTTGGGGGCGGTTTCTGAGTGGGAGGCAGGACTGTGGACTGGTCATCCTGGGGCCCTTGTAGGATGGTGCAGAGCCCTAGGACACTCAGGTTTGGTGGAGACGCTGGGTTGGAGGTACAGAATCGGAGCCCAGAAGGACAGAGCTGCAGCAGCTGCCATCAGATGGGCAGCTGCTTGGGGGGGCGGGGGGGAGCAGGATGCTGCCTGCATGACTATGAAGTAGGTGTTCCTGGGGCCTTTGCTCAGGGGCTACTCTGCTTGCAGGCACGAGCAGGCCCAGGTTGGTAGAGGGACGAGGCGTGTGCTGCAGACTTAGGCGCTCATGTTTGGGTGGAGGGAAGTGGGAGGTCTCAGTTCCCATGGGAGCTGGTCTCTCATGGGCTTGACCACCCCAGGCCAGTGCTCAAGTCCTGGGCTGCTTTGGAGCTCTGTGCTGAGCTACTGTGGATGTGTTCTGATGTTTTGGTAGCAAGCAGGCAGTGGACGCTGGTGACCCCAGAACTCTCAGAGACTCTCAGGTCTCAGGTAGGTTGAAGCACAGAATGGGGGACACAGATTCTCATCTGAAGAGCAGGGACTGCATAGGACCTGCATGCTGGCAGAGGGCCCAGGTCCTGGATGCAGGCTCTGGGCGTGAGCCTGCTCTGTGTATGCCAGCAGGAAGAGAGGAGGGAACCTGGGCGGGGCCCTGGGAGCAGAGACCTGGGTGTCCCGTTTCGGAGCTGGAGTTCTGGTTTGGGGCTGCTCCAGCTGCACTCTGCACGTGCGCTGGCCTGGGGGCACAGTGGGGAGGCATGGGCAGCCCTAGGGCCCAGATACTGCCTGGGGATGCCCAGGTGGGTAGAGGGAGCGGCTGCAGATTCTGGGCTGCACAGGGGTAGGGCTGTACAGTCTCGGCACACACACAGGTGTGTGTGGGTGGGAAACAAGAGGCAGGAGGTGGGTATTAGATGAAGGGTGCTGGGGTCTTTGTGCAGATGGCACCCCGATCACAGCCTGATGATGCCTAGGTCGGTAAAAAGATGGGATCTTTCTGAGCTGCAGGTGCCCACGGAGGTGTTTGGGCAGGAATCTAGGCAGGTGCGGCTCAAGGAGGGGCCTGTGGAGGTGGGTGGAGGAAATGGTTTGGGTGCAGGTTCGGGGTGCAGGTGCACTGTGACCCATACTGAGGTTTTTGAATGAGAACCCAGTAGGGATGAGAGGGTGAGTGAGAGGGAGAGAGAGGGTGGGAGTGGGGTGCATAGGGTGGGATTTGCCAGGGGCTGTTCCGTTCTCCAGCCCAGAAACATCTAGTTGGTACAAAGACAACTAAAGCACACATTCTGGGCGTGGGAGGGGCTGGCACGTGCTGGGGTCTGTCAGGAGGCCACCATGCCGTCTTGATTGCCAGTTCAGGCCTGAGGACATCCAGGTTGGTGGAGGGGCCAGGTCAGAGCTACAAATTCAGGACCCAGGAGGGTTTGGGGATGGGAACCTGGGCTAGCGCTGGTAGAAGCTGGTCAGCCCCAGAAGAGTGGAAGGACCAGGTGCAGCTGAGCTCTGTGCATGTGCTTGGCTATTTGAGCAGGAAGTTAGAAGCAATCGTGACAGGTTGCTGGCTTCCTGCATGTAGTCAGGGAGTGTGATCTGGGGCCATGAATCCCAGAGCCTTGCTGCTTGCCCGAGGAAGAGATGCTGGTTTGGGGTACAGGTTTCAGGTTGGGGAGGAAGGGGTCCCCGATGGGCTAGGTCCGTGGTCGGCAAACCACGGCTCGCGAGCCACATGCGGCTCTTTGGCCCCTTGAGTGTGGCTCTTCCACAAAATACCACGTGCGGACGCGCACGTACAGTGCGATTGAAACTTCGTGGCCCATGCGCAGAAGTCGGTATTTTGTGGAAGAGCTGGTATTTTGTGGAAGAGCCACACTCAAGGGGCCAAAGAGCCGCATGTGGCTCGCGAGCCGTGGTTTGCCGACCTGTTTGCAGGAATTTCAGGACCCAGTGGGGAAGGGAATGACTGATTTGTGCTGCAGATGATGGTGGTGATGAAGGCTGCATTTGGGCAGGACATGGGCTCACTGGTGCGGGATCCAGAGGCCTCCGATAGGGGAGGACCCAGTTTGGAGCCGCAGAGTCCTGGCCTGGGAGAGGGACCAAGGATCTCCAGGTACACGCACAGCTTTCCAGGCTGGAATCCGGGCAGGACCCTCTAGCCCAGTGATGGCGAACCTTTTGAGCTCGGCGTGTCAGCATTTTGAAAAACCCTAACTTAACTCTGGTGCCGTGTCACATATAGAAATTTTTTGATATTTGCAACCATAGTAAAACAAAGACTTATATTTTTGATATTTATTTTATATATTTAAATGCCATTTAACAAAGAAAACTCAACCAAAAAAATGAGTTCGCGTGTCAGAGGTGTCATAGGTTCACCATCACTGCTCTAGAAGCACACTTCTCATGGGAAATGCATCCCGGGAGCAGAGACTAACCAGGGACGGGGTGCCAAGGTGGACCTACAGGAGGGGGTTGTACTCAGGGTTTCTCCCCTTGCAGCTCAGGACCTCAGGCCCCTGCCCGTGCGGGAAGGAGAGCATGGAAGAGCAGGAGGAGAAGCCCCCGGGAACCCTGACGGAGGCCTGTGTGCAGGTGAGTGAGCTTCCCTTCCTCTCCTCCCCTCCCCTCCCCTCCCCTCCCCCCCGGAGACGCAGAGCTGGAGCCCACCCAGGCCCCACAGCCCAGCCCTCTGGACTTGGGAGCTGTCCGGCTCTCTGCAGTGTTTGGGGTGCTTTTGGCACCTCCTGACTTGCAGGCTCCTAACACTTACACAGGATGCATTTAATGAGGCTCTCTGCATTCCTTCACCCTTCTAACCCAGACGCTAACTCTTTCTGAGAGGAACTTGGCCCCCTGTATCAAAAGTCCTTAGAATACGGAATGCCCTTTGACCAGCCACTCTGGGCTCTGCCTGAGAATGAGCGCTTGAAAGAATGTTTGAGAATATGCAACGCAAGAGGAGAGTTCGCTGCGTTATGGTCAGACCATGACGTGAAATACCCTATAGGCATTGATGTGATAATGCATATTTACCAACGTAAAGGGAGGTTTATTTATGATCTGTGTTAAGTCACTGGCGTTTAGAAATGACCACCTTTTTGAAAAGGGGTGTAGTGTGTGTGTGTATAGAAGATTTGTTAGGCCCTGGCCACGAGGCTCCGTTGGTTGGAGCATTGTCCTGTGCTCCAAAGGGCTGCAGGGCGTGTACGGGAGGCAGCTGATTGTTGTTGCTCTCTCACATCGATGTTTCTCTCTCTTTCTGTCCCTCTTCCTTCCTCTCTCTCTAAAAAACTCAATAAAAACATATCCTTGGGCGAGGATTTGAAAAAAGAAAAAAATATGTTAGAAGACAGTAAATACGCCAGTTAACAAAGATTAGCTGTACTGTTACGTTACTTTCCAGGGGACTTTGTGTTTTCGTTTATTTTATCCACTTGTACTTTTGTACAGCGCATTTTAAGGTGAAGATATTACTAATTTAAATCATTTTCCTACAGCAAATATTCTTTGAAAACATTTAATTTCTTTAAAATGTTAAATTAGGATTTCGCTTTCGCCTTCCTGAACAATGCAGCCCCGAAGCCATTAGGTGGGGCAGAGCTGGGCAGGCCTCTGCACTGAGGGAGGGCTCCCAGCTGTGGGTGTCACGGCCTGATGGGGGTGAGGAGGGCATCTCTGTGTGGAGGCATCAAGCGGGGCAAGGAAGGGGTGTTAGGAGTCAGAGCCCAAGTAGGCGAGGTAAGTCCATGTGGAAGAGGGGATCTCGTTTGGGGTGATGGGGCCAGAGCAGTGAGAAGGGCATCCAGAGAGAGGAGCCCAAGTGCAGTGAGGGTGCCCAGCGTGGGTACCAGAGCCAGAGCAGGGTGACATGTGCACCATGTTGGGCCTGGGGAGGGGTGCACATCTCGTATGGCGCGTCACAGCCTGAGCAGCTTGAGGTCACCCATGCATGAGGGTAGCCTGGCATGGAGTATCAGAGCCCAAGCAGGATGGCAAGGGCTTCCCTATGGAGCCAAGTCTGGGGGCATGAGAGTGGGTCCATGAGAAGGGGCCACCTGGCCTGCAGAGTCAGAGCCCAAGCAGGGTGGGGAGGGCCCCCCGGCACAGGGTGGCTTCCCATGGGGCTGCAGAGCCCAGGTGGGCCGAGGAGCATCTAGCAGAGTCTCTCCGTCAGATACGGAAGAGAAAACACTGGCATGAACTGTGGTGTTCAGAGGACATTGGAGTTATTGATGTGGCTCATGGCTTTCAGTCTGTCGATGTAGAAATACAGAGAAATCTGTGTGTGGTGTGTGCCATGTGTGTGTCACATGTTTGTGTGTGTGTACAGACATATACTCCTATATTCCCTAACCCTGGCCACTCTGAGGGCCTGGAAATACATAGAAATGTGTGTGTGTGTGTGTGTGTGTGTGTGTGTGTGTATGTACAGACACATACTCCTATATTCCCTAACCCTGGCCACTCTGAGGACCTGGGAGCAGTGACATTTTGATACCATTGTGCACACCTGGTGCTCAGATTTCAACTTCGACATGAATGCTGTGGGTTTTATGGACACACTGTTAATGGCTATTTAGTGTTCGAGTTTTTGCTACTACAAATAGCACGGCTGTAAATGTTTTTGCATATGCTTCCTTGTACACATGCACAAGAATTTTTTGAAAAGAGTCAAACAAATATAAATTTACATTCACATTTTTTATCAAAATTACAGGTAGAAGGCATTTTGATGTGACCATTGGCATTCTACTATAAGCTAGTGACTTCATGTGTTTTCTGGGAATCTTTCTTTTTTTTTTTTTAATCTTCACCCGAGGATATACTTACTGATTTTAGAGAGAGGGGAAGGGAGTGTGAGAGAGACAGGGAGAGAGAGATTGAGGAAAACATGGATTGATCGCCCCCCCGCACGTGTCCCAACTGGGGATCGTACCCGCAACCCAGGTATGTACCCTGACTGGGAATCAAACCCACAGCCTTTCGGTGCAAGGATGGCACTCCAGCCAGCTGAGCCACGTCGGCCAGGGCCCTGGGAATCTTAATGGTCCTTCTTCTGTGTCATACAACTGAATTAGCAATCTGTTCATTATAATCTGTACTTTCATCGCATGTTTTTTATTGCCTAGCCCGTGTAAAGCCCTGTGTGAGGCACTGGGGAGAAAGAGGATTTCGTTCTCATAGAGCGACTTGTGCTTCTTCTAGAGCCCAAGGTTACATAGGAAAAGCAGAAACATCTTTTTTCCCTTGTATTAGCTCCCTGTGGTTGCACACCCCAGGACTTAGCAGCTGAAAACAGCCAGCATTTATCATCTCACACGTTTTCTGAGTTCCAGGCCCCTGGGAGCAGCTTGTCTGTGTGTTTCAGACGCTGGGTGTCTGGCGAGGGTTTTGTCTGAGCTGGGCCGCTGCCTCCAGGAGGTTGCCGTGTAGGAGGACCCACTTGCAAGGTCACTCACGTGGCTGTTGGCGAGAAGCCCCAGTTCCTCACCAGGTAAGACATCTCCCCAGGGCTGTTAACACAGCAGCTGGTTTCTCCCAGTGCACATGATCTGGAAGAGAGAGAGAGAGAGAGAGAGAGAGAGAGAGAGAGAAAGTTTAAATGCACACACACCCAAGATGGAACCCACAGTGTCTTTTGTCATCTGATCTCGGAAGTGGCACTCCATTCCTTCCTCTGCAATCTATTGGTCACACAGACCCACTGTGATTTATAGTCGGTCGGTCAGAAAAGCACTTTTGTGGCAAGAAAAGCCGTGTCTTCATTGTCACATGTTATGAATGTGATTTCTCTTTGCAGTGAGTTTTCACGATATGGTTGAGTCCATGTGCAGCTTGAGGTTGAAAGGGGTTCCCGGACCCAATACCAACGTGTGCATGTGTGTGTGTGTGTGTGTGTGTGTGTGTGTGTGTGTGTGTGTGTGTGTAGGCTTCCTTACACCAACAAGCAATTCTCTAACTCCAGCAAGGTGCCATTCAACTCAATTCTGACACCATCTACCCAGAGATAGAATCAGATTCCACAGGTAAGGAGCTCGGTCCCACGACACCACCCTCTACTTCAGATGCCAGCTGCAAGCCACGTTGTTATCTGTGCTTTTCTGACCGACTGACTATAAACCACAGGCTCCCATGACCCCTCTTTGAGTTCAGTTACTTTGCTAGAACAGCTCACGGAAATCGGGAAACCCACTGACTTCCTAGACTACGGATCTATTGCAGAGGATGCTAAAGGACATGAGTTGGCACCCAGATGAAGAGACGCATGGGGCCAGGTCCTGAGGGAAGGAGCTGCGGTCCTCGTGGCCCCTGGGCCTGGCACGGTGACTCACGGAGGTGCTCTAGTTCCCAGTGTGGAAGCTGTCCAAAACAGGGGCTGGGCACCTGTTCTTGGGGGCTTTATGGAGGCTTCATTACATAGTCATGATCGATCCAACCCCAAGCCCCTCTCCTCTCCCCGGAAATCATGGTGGGACTGAAAGTTCTAGTTCTCTAATGACATTGTTGGCTCCTACTGGCAACCAGCCCCCACCCTTGGGTGGGATTCAAAACTCATTTCATTAACAGAGCAAGAGAGAAAATCCTAAGGAGCCGTGAATTGGGAACGGTGGGTGAAGATCAGCTATATCTGAGACATACATTTTGGTCACCTGGATGACCAAATATATGTATACTAGAGGCCTGGTGCATGGATTTGTGCGCATTTAAAGTAAATTAATTAGAAGGTGGCCTGCGGGGCGGGACTGGGTGAGACGGGCTGGACACGCCCTGAAGCCAACCTCCCATGGTCCCTCCCCAGCCGGCCGCACCTGGGGCAGCACTGGGGCTCAACGGGCATCTGTGGAGGGAGCGGGGTCCCTCCAGCAGGTGGGATCCCTCGGCCTGGCCTGCAGGGATCGGACCAAAACCGGCAGTCCGACATCCCCCAAGGTGTCCCGGAGTGCGAGGGGGCATTCTGCAAAGTTGCTGTCCCTCCGCAGCTCCTGTGTTGAGCATCTGCCCCCTGGTGGTCAGTGCGCATTATAGCTACTGATCAGTCGCTTAGGCTTTTATATATAGAGATATTATAACTATAAACCTACTTTTGCCCACCCCTGCATATATGTATAAGAAATACACACACAACACTTTTAGGAATTATCTGGTTTCAAAGTGATTTTTCAAGAGAAAAATATTTTTGCTGGCTTCTGATTAAGGGAAATAAGTGTTATTAAAAAATAGATACAGTATTAAAACAGACTGTGAACCTGCTCCTCAATCCTCTCCCTCCCCAAAATAACTGCTTTTAATGCTTTGGAGACTGTCCTGACTTTTCTGTGTATGTTTATATTCTATAAAAATCTGTTCATATTTTATAGATTGTTTTAGTTTTTTCATTCAACAATGTATTATAAACATCTTTCTGTTATTTATACACATCAGTTTAGGCAAATCTGTCTCTTCTCTCGACTGCTACATAGTATTCATTTATCTGGATGAAGCATCATTTATTTAACCAGGCACTTACTGATGGACATTATTTAGTGCATCCTGCCTGAAGCCAATTCCAGCATGTTCAGCAGGGCTGAATCATCTGGAGTAGCAAAGGCATTTCCCCAAACCTGAAAAGGGATGATTGTTTGCTGCCAGACAGCTCAGGGCATCTTAATCTACATATTATTGCCTCCTACTGGCCAAACACCTGAACAGCCCTAGGCAATTCTCCAAAACCTGATAATCTGACAGTGGACTCTGTATACAAAACATGACCCTTTGAAGTGTATATCTCCACCTCCCTTAGGACAAATTGTGTTAATAAAAAGCAAGGGGTCCTGAGACGAGGAGATCTTAGTTTCTTTAGCTAGGCTCCTCTGACTCCCTATAATGCAGCGGTTATCAACCTGTGGGTCGCGACCCCTTTGGTGGTCAAACGACCCTTTCACAGGGGTCGCCTAAGACTACCCTGCATATCAGATATTTACATTATGATTTATAGCAGTAGCAGCATTACAGTTATGAAGTAGCAACGAAAATAATTTTATGGTTGGGTCCCAACATGAGGAACTGTATTTAAAGGGCCAGAAGGTTGAGAACCACTGCTATAATGCCTTTCAAAATTATGTTTCGTCTCTGGACTCTTTATTAAGTTACACACAGCCCTTCTCCAGATTGCTGAACCCTTCTTGATGCTGGAACAAGAACCCCGGGAGCATCCTCCCATTTAGCTAGGATAATGTAACCCTTTAATGAGTTTTCTTGTACATATCTACATCTAAGTGTAGTTTCTATTATTTGCCAATGAAATACAAGTAGACTTATTGGATAGTATATCATGTTAAAAATATTTCCATTAAAAAGACAAAAATCAAGGAGTATCTACAAAAACTGACAAAATCTGAAAAAAGTTTGTGCCTGAGTTAAAAATATTGTACCAGTATCAGTTTCCTAATTTTGACAGTGTACTGTGGTTTTGTTAATACTAGCATCAGGGGAAGCTGGGCTAAGGGTACATAGGAATTCTCTGTTCTATTTTTGCAACCTCTTACAAGTCTTAAACTATTTCCAAATAAAATGTTATTTAAAAAATATATTGCTACCCTGGCTGGTGTGGCTCAGTTGGTTGAGCATCGTACTGAAAGGTGGAAGGTTCAATTCCCAGTCAGGGCACATACTCAGGTTGCAGGTTTGATCCCCAGTCAGGGTGCATATAGGAGGCAACTGATTGATGTTTCTCTCTCTCCCTCTCCTTTTCTCTCTCTCTAAAGTCAATAAAAACATTAAGAAGATAAAAATATATATATTGCCAGTCCAGCCCTGGCCAGGTGGCTCAGTTGGTTGGAGCGTTGCCTCGTGCACCAAAATGGTTTCGGGTCTGATTCCCAGTCAAGGCACATACCGAGGTTATGGGTTTGATTTGTGGTCAGGGTGTGAAAGGAGGCAACCAATTGATGTTTCTCTCTTACGTCAATGTTTCTCTTTCTCTCTCCCTTCCCCTCTCTCTCTCAAATCAGTAAAAACATATCCTCAAGTGAGGATTTAATATATATATGTAGCCAGTGCAGAAAGGTTGGGTCAAGTTAAACTTCCACTAAGAGTATAAGAAGCTCTTGACCAGTGGGCCACCACAGGAGGAATTGTAAGCAACAGGCAAAAGAAACACTCCACATGGTTGGTTATATACAGGGGCTTTGAGCAAATCAGTAAATTTAAGTGAAGAATACTGGAAGGAGAAGGAAGGTGCAAATATGGAAAACAGGAAAGCTAGAATAAAGTGTGTTGAATTACATTTGGAGGTACCAGTGTGATGAAATGGTCTCTAACATATAGAGAGATAATTATAGAAATAGAGGTTTAGTGTTATCTGATTTAAAGAGGTGAGCATCTCTTTGTATATTCACTGGCCATTTTATTTCTTCATAGTTGAGCTGCATTGTATTTTCCTTTGTCCATTTTTCTGTGGGAGCTACCCTTTTCTTACTGATTCGGAAGAAGTCTTAACAGTAGATTTTCTATTGCCGGTGCCTTTATTGGTGGTGCTTTATGCCAAACGTTTCATGAAGTTAACTTATTGATTTCCCCCTCCTTGATCATTCTTTGGTCATGCTGTATTCTGTCTTATTTGCTTACAATTCTGAGGTCCAGGGACTCAGGCAGGGATTCAGCTGTACATTTCTTTTCTTCTACATAGTGCCTGTGGTCACTCACTGGGCTGGCAGCTGGGCTGGCCTGGAAGGTCCACAAAGACACATGTCTGATGTTTCAGTGACCCTCCAGATGCCCCCCACTTGGCTCACTTGAGCTTACAAAGGAGGGAGCAGGAGTCTGGTTGGTGGGATGCCTTAAAACAGGTGGTACGTCAGATCCTAGCCTACGCACAGTGAGGGTTTTGAGCTGTGACGGAGCTCCCTTTAATTTCCTTTCTCTCGTCTATTTTGCTTTCTCAGGACTCTCTCCTTCCTCAAGAGATTATCATCAAGGTCGAGAGAGAAGATTCAGGGCCAGTGGCCGTCCCATCCCAGGTGAGTTGGACACATGGCTTCTTTACATTGAGAAATGTGTGTGGCTGGTTGATGGCAGAAGCCAGATTGAAGTGAACTAGGAAGTGAGTAGAAAGTGATGGGAATGGAGGTAAGAGGGGGCAACTTTTACAGAAATTGGGTGATCATGTGAAAGATTGAAGAGAGTGATAGCTGTCAGGACATTTGAAGTTGAAGGGCTTTTTAAAAATTTCCTTAAAGGATTCAAAAGATATGACTCACAAGTGGTTGCAGGAAGGAGTTAGTGGGGAAAAAGAAGTTAATAGTCAGGAGAGAGAGAAGATAAAACTATAAAGCAGAGTCCTTGATTAGTTCCAGGGGAATTCAGAGTATCTATACTTATAATAGGGTAATATGAAAATTGGTTAGGACACCATCACGTAACGACCAATCAGCAGGAGGGCAGGGCAGTGAGCTACAGGAGGGCATGGCAGTAAGCTACGAGCGGAGGAGAGCTAAAAGAGGGCAGGGCAGTGAGCTATGTGCGGTGGAGAGCTACGAGCGGCGGTGGGCGAGGCGGCCAGCTGAGGCAAGCGGCAGCAAGCTACTCGCGCACAGATTCATGCACAGGGCCACTAGTATGTGAATAAATGGCTCTACAGAGGAAGAAGGACGCATAAAGGACGAATGAGATTGAGGGAGTTACGTGAAAGCTTAGATTTGCCTCTGAACAAGCAGACGGAGTTAACTGTTGGCTATAAGGGTGGGGATTGGAATGGAGAGACGTGTGACATGTGTAGAGAAGTCTTAGAGTAGTAATTTTGGATTGTGGGAGAACAAGCTGCTCCAGGAGGCATAGCAGGGCTGCTGGAGGATCTGACGGGATTATCCAAGGAAGTGACCATTAATTGATAACACTCTATCCAGCTGCTTCTGCGGATTTCCCCTCTCCCAAAGGGGAGCATTCTGTAACCTACTTTCCATAGACGGTAGATTGACATTCAGATTGGTTTAGCTTTTGTAGCCACAAGCATTCTGTGGAAGCCCCATAGGTCAAGGTAATATTTGAAAGAGAATTTTTTAATATATTAAATGGGATTAAAATGAATGATCTCGACTCTAAACTGAATAATTAAGACGGAAAAGATAAAGAGGACACTAACTAGAAAGGAAAAGAATACAAACTGATAGATAGTAATAGTAGACATTTCAATAGAACAATGGCCCCAAACTATCCAAGGACAAGAAAGGTAAAGGGAGTAATTGAACAAGTAGAGTGGAGAAGTTGCCAGAGAGGATGTGGTTGGGGGACTGGGTGAAAAAGGCAAAGAGATTGAGAAGAACAGATTGGTAGTTAACAGAATAGTCACCAGGATGTAAAGTACAGCATAGGTAATATAGTCAATAATATTGTAACAACTATGTATTTTCAGTGCCAGGTAGGTGTGTACTGGAAATACTGTGGGGACCACTTTGCAAAAAGTATATGATTGTCTAACTACTATGCTGTACACCTGAAACTAATACAAAACAACATTGAATATAAACTGTAATTGAAAAAAAATTTTTAATCTGATGTTGTAATAAAAAATAATGTGATGTAATCAAAGAGTAGGCAGTTCTATGTGTGTGATTTGAGAGGTAGAGTACTTTATGTTAAGTCTGGGGTGTCACCCTAAGAGTGGGTCTCTGAAGAGCAATTTTAGGGTCTGGGAGTTTGGCTAGCCATGTGAATTGATGACTGAGAACACAACCTCTGATGTCAAGCAACTGTGAGGTTGTAGACCAGCTACCAACTTTAGGCATATGTTAATTTCTCTAGTTCTTCATCTGAAAAATGGTGCTACTAATAGAATTTTCTCACAGGACCTTGTGAGAATTGAATGGTAATTTGTGTCATAGATAAGCGCACTGCCTGGCACTACACAGCAAGTGCTTCCTTAAAGTCAGTTACTTTTATAGTATTATCAGAGAACTCTGCAAGTGGATGCTAAACTAGTAGACCAGTCATTTTCAACCAGGGTGCTGCTGCAGGCTCATGGGTGTGCTGTAAGGATTTTTAAAACATACAATATCTGACTATTTAGTCAGGGGCACTGACTTCTTTTCTCTTAGATTGTCAAATTAAAAACTGACAACAGCCAAAACAATAGCCATCCAGTGTGAATGCCCTATCTTGAACCATAAATCTATAGGTCATATAATAAAGTTATATCTTATTGGTCACGTCGCACAGTAAGGTTGCGATTGGTTAATTCTTGGTACCAGAAATCCATATATATACCTGGGTTTTTTTTTAAAAAGTCACTTTGGAGCAAAAAGGGTAGGTAATTACTATTATTTTTTGTAAGTTAATAAAATTATACCTTTTTCTGTCAGATTGGCAAAAATGTAATATATTTTTTTGGTGTTCCTCAGAATTTTAGTAATTAGTTTGTATGTGCCATGAGATGAAAAATATTGAAAATCGCGCAATAGACAATGGAAGGTGAAACAATTCAAGTTCTTGAAATGGGAAATGAATCATGGGTATTATAAGTCTTCAGGGGATGGGCGTGGTGGTTCCAGAGATTGGTAGGACAAAACTAAGAAATATGGTAAGTGATAAGGGTTTCAATGTAACTGGGAGGACTCACACCCTCCCCCTTGGATGGGAGAGCATGACCACCCTAAGCCTGGGATGTCTGTGGCGGAAGGAGTCCACAGGGGGGAAGGTATGTTTCCTTTAACACAGGGATGTAGAGGGAATATTAGGTGAAGATGTTGAAGCTGTAGGATTTCATTATTATAGCAGATGAGTTCCCAAGGACACAGTTGAAGGGTTTGAGAAGGACTTGGAGGAGTGGGGATTTGGGGCAGGTGAAGCAGAATAGAGTAAGTGGGGATAGAAGTTCAGAAAAGCCAGTATCTACATATTGAAGGACTTTTTTTTCAAATGGGTATGTGATAGGCCCTTTGAGTTTCAGGTGAGAGGAGAAGACCTAAATCAGAATTTGGACCAGACCCAAAACACCCATCAGAAAGAATGTATACACCTCAGTGTTCATAGCAGCACAATTTACAATAGCTAAGATCTGGAAACAGCCCAAGTGCCCATCAGATAAGTGGATAAAAAAGTTGTGGTGCATTTATACTATGGAATACTATGCAGCAGTTAAAAAAAAGAAGGATCTCTTACCCTTTGAGACAGCATGGAGGGACCTGGAGAGTATTATGCTAAGAGAAATAAGCCAGTCAGAAAAAGACAAGTATCACATGATCTCACTCATATGTGGAATCTAATGAACCAAATAAATTGATCAAAAATAGACTGAGTCATAGAAGCATGAACAGACTGTTGAACTTCAGAGGGAAGGTAGGGGAGGGTGGGTAGGTGGGAAGAAATCAACCAATGAACTTGTATACATATATGCATCAACTGTGGACACAGACAGTAGGGTGGTGAAGGCCTGGAGCAGGCTAGAAAGGGTTAATGGGGAGGAAAGGGGGACATATGTAATATTTTCAACAATAAAGATTTTAAAAAATAGACTTTGGACCAGGATTATTCGGATATATTATAAAGTCTATTAATTCTATTGATTGATGTATTGACATAATTTACTAAATATATATTTAGTATTTACTGTACACCAACACTATGCTAAGCACTGGAGTAACAGTTGCAGACTATAAATACCTTCTACTTTCCTTCATGGACTGTAGCCTAGTGACAAAAAAATGACCATTATGCAGATGATAAGAAAGTGTGGAACTTTGAGAACATGTAGCTGGGATGGAGTGGGAGGTGCTAGTCTAGTATTATTTATTTGATATTTGAACAAGCTTAATGTAGGTACCTACATTAAATAGCAAAAAGGAGTACATATTTATTCAAAGGAAGCATGGATTAGAGGTTGGAAAACAGGACTATAGAATAGATCCATATTCAACAGAGGTTACAGTTTTTTGTTTGTTTGTTTTGTTTTTAATATACTTCTTTATTGATTTCAGAGAGGAAGGGAGAAGCTGGGATGGAGTGGGAGGTGCTAGTCTAGTTTGATTTATTTGATATTTGAACAAGCTTAATGTAGGTACCTACATTAAATAGCAAAAAGGAGTACATATTTATTCAAAGGAAGCATGGATTAGAGGTTGGAAAACAGGACTATAGAATAGATCCATATTCAACAGAGGTTACAGTTTGCAAATGACATTTCTCAATTCCATTTTGGACTAATCATGAAAACCTTTGAGATTTTGGTGAAATTTATGGCTCCAACATAGAAAGGTTACAGTTTGCAAACGACATTTCTCAATCCCATTTTGGGCTAATCATGAAAACCTTGAGATTTTGGTGAAATTTATGGCTCCAACATAGAAAAATGCAGTACAGCAGCATTTCGCTTGGAGTGTCTTGGGATTCACAGACCCTGCTTCCTATTCATGAATTACAGCTTAATAAAATCTGGTCTATTTTAAAAACCTTCAGTGGCCAGTGGCATTCAACTTCCCTGACTTTTGCTGCTTTTAGGTAAAGACAGGTCACCCTCAGCACTTCTTTTTTGGATCAAATTTCCTGCCCAGTAGTTTTGGAAATAGGTCCTTTCCTGCTCAGAGGAGGCAGTGCTTTTTATATGGCAGTAATGTCTGAACATCTAAACGCTCTACAGTGCAGGTCAGTGTAGACAAATAGAACTGTCATCTGAAGACTAAAGGTCACATTGGCTGTCATTTAATTTCTCAGAGTTTTCAGACAATAATAATTGTTAATGTGATTATATTCATCATCACAATTAACTCAACAACCCAATGAGTTGGGTATGATTAAGCCTAATAAACAGAATAAACTCACCATTAATACACAGATTGTCACATTAGATTTTTTTTTTAATTCAGACATATACTGTTTACAGGTGAGAAAACCCAAGTCTCTTTTTTTCCCAAATCCAGTGCTTTTAACCTCTACTTCATTAAGGTCCACATTTCCTCTTCTACTTCAGGCACCAGCAAAGTAGAGCCTGGAGCCAAATGCAGCCTACTACCTGTTTGTGTAAATAACAGTTTATTGTAATACAGCTACACTCATTTGTTTATTTTCTATGGCTGCTATCTTGCTACAGCTGAGTGGTTGTGACAGACTGTATAGTTTGAAAAACCTAAAATGTTTACTCTTTGGCCTTTGATAGAAAAAGATTACTGATCCTTGTTCTGTTAGTTTCTTGGTAATTTGGAGGGAATTCCTATGTGGGAATTCTATATACCAGTGAAAAAATAGAAGGAAGCATTTTCTTCAAGGTGATCAAGAGAGAAATTGTATATTAGTTCTTATCTGGTGTTTCTCTTTGGGGTTGCAAAACAGATCCAGCATCCAAAACCCAAAAGGGCTCACCTAGAAGGCACATGTACTCCTTGACTAGAATTCTTTGAATGCTGACTATCTCAGTACAACTTCTGGGACATCAAGTTTCCTTTCTTCCATCTGTCAAACCTTTCTTCCTCTATAAACATTAAAGGGAAATGATGTCCAGTTGAGCAGGAATGTGTGTGCTGTTTTAGGAAGGCGTAAACTTCAAAATTGTGACTGTGGACTTCACTCAGGAAGAGGGCATTTTGAACCCTGCTCAGAGGACCCTGGACAGAGATGCGATCCTTGAGAACCACAGGGACTTGGTCTCTTGGGGTAAGAATATGGTCCTCTTTAATGAAGTCTGTCTGTTGAACTTATTTCTTATTGATTGAGAATTTTGCAGTTCAGAGGTAAAAATGGCTTTGGCCACACATAGATTTTGTTTGTGCTTTTTATTCCCTAGTGAAAATTTAATTTAATTTAAATTTGTAAGGTAGAAAAGGTACAGTTTCTTTGGTTTGAGCTTGTTTAATCTTCATGATTCCCAAAGGCCAAAAACTAGGACCAAATTCTGCAATAATTTTCCTGGTCTCCAGCCCAGGCACCCGAAGTCCTATATCTTTCCCTACCAGCTTTTCAAACCAGACACAATTTCCTAGTTGGAGCAACGGGATGAGTATAAAAAGAATTTCCCAGCACGCATATCCTGGTGAGAAATAGACACAAAGGAGTCATCATAGGTATAGAAGGTTAGATTGAAAAATCCCCATAGGGCATGCCACATTTTTCTTCATTTCCCACCTCCTAGTGGATTATATACATCACCATTTTTCCAGATACTCTCTAATGCTTGGCTTAGCCATTGAAGCTTCTGCTTATGAGCTAACCTCCATTCTTTCTCACTTGGAATCACAGGAATCCATGGGGCCATATTAACCCCTAAGGCATTTAGGGAACTCTGAGATAACAGTGTCCCCAATTCTTTTTCCTGGTTCACAGTTGTAGTTTGCTCTCTCCTAGTGGATTATATACATCACCACTTTTCCAGATACTCTTTAATGCTTGGCTTAGTCAGCGAGGCTTATGCTTATGAGCTAACCTCCATTCTCTCTCAGAATCACAGGAATCCACGGGGCCATATTAACCTTAAGGCATCTAGGGAATGCTGGGATAACAGTGTCCCAATTCTTTTTCCTGGTTCACAGTTGTAGTTTGCTCGTGTCTTACTGACATAGGCTATGCTAACAAGTGTCATGCTTTCAGAAATTCCTAGGAATGTAGACACTAATTTCTATTTCATTGAACATGTGTTTAGCACTAAAGAGGGTAGAAAGGACCCTTTATTACTTTGCTAAGAATTGCAAAATTGTTTTATGATTCTTTTAGTCTATATAAGTGATCTTATTTTGGAACATGGAGATTTTGATTTGGTGTCTAAAGTCTTACATATTCAGTAAAATTATGATTAAATTATTCCATTTTAATGCAGTGTTATACTATTGGGCTGTGGTAGTTTTCTGCTTATTGCTTCATCCCATCCTCTTGATTCTCAATCCAGATTATAATAGCTGAAAACAAATCTACATGTATTCTGCATCCTTTCTTGTCAGCTTTATTTCACTATTCCAACATTTTTTTGGCTAGAATATTTTATTTTTCTTTCTTCCAGACTTGGCAACTGCACTTGGTAGAAGAGAATCAACATCAAAGCAGAGAATTATTGATGATGAACCATCCCATGGAGTGAAATTAGAAAGGTTGACAAGAGATGATCCTTGGTTGTCTTCATGTGAAGAAGTTTGGATTTGTAAGGATCAGTTGGAGAAGCAACAGGAAAAGCAAGAAAGACTTTTTAAGAAAGTGGCATTCATTCATGAAAGAGTCTGCAAAAGTGATGAACTTGAGGAAAAGAGTGGTCTGAATTCCAGTTTTCTTTCACCCCAGATGATACCCATAAGAAACCATTTCCATAAACATGTCTCTCATGTTAAAAAATTACATCATTCTGTTGTGGACAGTCATCAGATGATTAGTGACAATGAGAAACTATGTGAAAATAATGAATATGGAAAAAAATCCCAGAGCATTCACCTTATTCAATTTACAAGAACTCAAACAGAAGATAAATCCTATGGGTTTAGCAACAATATTCAATCTTTTAGCCATGGTACACCTGTAAATATACATGAGAAAATACATGCAAGAGAAAAACCCTTTGATGTTAAGGAATGTGGGCAAGTTTTAAACCATAGCATATCCCATAATGAACAACAAAACATTCCTGTTCAATATAATTGTAGTAAAATCTCTGAGAATTCATTTCTTGCTCCAAACATGAAAAATTCTGAAGAGAAACCCTTTGAATGTAACCAATGCAGGAAATCCTTCAGCTGGAGCTCTCATCTTGTTGCACATCAGAGAACTCATACAGGGGAGAAACCTTATGAATGTAATGAATGTGGGAAATCCTTCAGCCGGAGCTCTCACCTTGTTTCCCATCAGAGGACTCATACTGGAGAGAAACCTTATAGATGTAATCAGTGTGGGAAATCCTTTAGCCAGAGCTATGTTCTTGTTGTGCATCAGAGAACTCATACTGGAGAGAAGCCTTATGAATGCAGTCAGTGTGGAAAGTCATTCAGGCAGAGCTACAAGCTTATTGCACATCAAAGGACTCATACGGGAGAGAAGCCCTATGAATGTAATCAATGTGGGAAATCATTTATCCAGAGCTATAAACTTATTGCACATCAAAGAATTCACACTGGAGAAAAACCCTATGAATGCAACCAATGTGGAAAGTCCTTTAGTCAGAGTTATAAACTTGTTGCCCATCAGAGAACTCACACAGGAGAAAAACCCTTTGAATGTAATCAGTGTGGGAAATCTTTCAGCTGGAGTTCTCAACTTGTGGCACATCAAAGGACTCATACTGGAGAGAAACCCTATGAATGTAACGAGTGTGGGAAATCTTTCAACCGCAGTTCACACCTTGTTATGCATCAAAGAACTCATACAGGAGAAAAACCCTATGAATGTAATCAGTGTGGGAAGTCGTTCAGCCAGAGTTATGTTCTTGTTGTACATCAGAGAACTCATACTGGGGAAAAGCCCTATGAATGTAGTCAGTGTGGGAAATCCTTTAGGCAGAGTTCATGCCTTACTCAACATCAGAGAACTCATACTGGGGAGAAGCCCTACGAATGTAATCAATGTGGGAAAACGTTCAGCTTGAGTGCTCGACTTATTGTACATCAAAGAACACATACTGGAGAGAAACCCTTTACATGTAATCAATGTGGGAAAGCTTTCATTAACAGCTCTAAACTTATTAGGCATCAGGCAACTCATACTGAAGAGAAACCCTATGAATGTAACTAGCTTGGAAATATTTTAGCCAGAGTATATTCCTTCATCCCTGCCTCCCTTCCAAGGAAGATATGTGTTAGAAAAACATGGATAAGATTAATGTATGCAGAAAAGCTTTCCATTGGCCCTATTATTATGTATCTGGAAATTTGTTCTGGAGATGAAAGGAGGGACTATGGATCACACTTTTTCCCCCAATATGTTTTTACTGATTTTAGAAAAGCATCGATTGGCTGCCTTCTGCACACCCCCTACTGGAGATTGAGCCCACAACCCAGGCATGCACCCTGCCTAGAATTGAAGAGGTGACCTTTCGATTCATGAGACAGTACTCAAACCAACTGAGCCACTCTGGTCAGTCAGGATCTCACGTTTTATTTCATAATTCTGCATACAAAATCAAACAGTCTTTATGAAACATTCTGAGCAAAAGTAATACATTTTGGCACTTTTCCTTGCAAAAATCACTTAGAGAGAATTGCCATTAAATGGACAATATGCTGTGGAGTGATTGCCAATGATATTGACCTCTTTTCCAATAAAGAGTAAATGAGAATGCTATCATTGGTGGTGGTGTTGAGAAGGTTGAAAAATTGCTGTGGTTATTAGAAATTAGGCTGGAAAACAGTAGTTCAGTGTATCATCTTACAACATGATTTCTTCACTAACTACTTTATATTCTCTTTCATGCAGCACTTTCTCTTATATAGAGGATTTTGTAAAAATTAGGAAAATGGCTATGATGCAAAGTGAAAAATGCAGAACAAGAG